ACATCACAATAATCCACAAGCAATCCACTCAACTCCAGTCCATCAGTTAACACCTTATGAAGTGAAAAGCTATGTTTGTAATCATTTGTGTTTGTAAATCCATCAGGTTTTTAACTTCAAACCATTGTTTCCAACTGAAATGTGAGAACTCTATCCATAATATTAGTTTCTCCAGTGAAAAAGTTATCTTGTCTGAATCAGGAGAAAAATATGCACAGATCAAGCACCATTTAAAAGTGAAAACATAAACAAATATGTTGGTGGATTTTGATGTGAGAGACAACAGGAGATGGACTTTTTCACTGGGGGAAGCGTTATTATGGATTATGGACTTTATTTTGTATTTCAGCCAGAAGCAACATTTTGGTGTTAAAATGTTTTAATGATGGATTGGGTTATTACAAATATGCAGCTTTTCGCTTCACAAGATGTCAGTTGATGGACTGGAGTTTTGTGGATTATTGTGATGTTTTTATCAGCTGTTTGGACTCTAATTCTGACGGCACCCATTCACTGCAGAGGATCAATTGGTAAACAAGTGATGTAATGCTAAATTTCTCCAAATCTGTTCCCATGCATGAAGAAACAAACTCAGGGACATCTTGGATGGACTGAAGGTGAGTGAATTTCCAGCAAATGTTATTTTTGGGTGAACTATTCCTGTAATTCACTGTTGAGCTTTAGCTTTTTGACTATGGTAGAATTATTTGAAACAAAATCATATAGATTTTTCTTCTTCAAAAACAATGTTTAGTGCATTGTTAATACAAATTATGATATTTTAGTTAACATTGTTTTATTTAAATTGTTGTGATTATTATCTTCATCGTGTATGAAAATGTAAATGCTGTGTATTTTGTTGCATATCCATCTCTTTATGATGACAATGGTCTCATACCATAACCGCAGCTGTTTAGAGCAGAGCATGTGAGCGGAGCGGAGTGGTAATATTTCCTTAAGAGCGCAGAGCGCCTTTCTGAAGATTCCGCTCCGCTCGCTCAATACGCTCAGCGCCGCTCGCTCAACCACACATTTCATTACACCAAATACACAAAATAATGTTCTTTTTTAGCAACGTCATATGACCCCTTTAATGATGTATTTCTTTCTTACAATCATGAAGATTATCACTTCGCAAGACATTTAATTGATGTACTGGGGATTTTTATTACTTGGATTACTTGTGGATTATTGTAATGTTTTTATCAGCTGTTTAGACTCTCATTCTGATGGCACCCATTCACTGCAGATGATCCATTGGTTGAGCAAGTGATGTAATGCTAAATTTCTCCAGATCTTTTCTGAAGAAGAAACAAACTCCTATAATTCTTCAGTGGCCTGAGGGTGAGTACATTTTCAGAAAGTTTCAATTTTTTTTGTTAACTATTCAAAAACCATATAGATTTTTCTCCTTCAAAAACATTGTTTAGTGCATTGTTAATTATAAATCATGATATTTTAGTCAACAGTATGTTTTATTTAAATCATTATGATAAATGTCATCATTATTGTTGACTTATGTATTAGATTAATTGTGTATTATTGTATTTGGTTGCATATATCCATATGCTGACAATGGTTTCATACCATAACCGCAGCTGTTTGTTGCAACACATGCATTGTAGCTATGTGAGCAGTAGCCAGGAGATGAATGCTTATGGAGTCTAATCCCAGATTGCCGTGGGGCAGACAGGGCAGAATCAGGCATCTGTTTGCACAACTGGATCACTGCACATCTGTCTGTCTATGAGCGTGTAGGTGTGTGTGTGTTTATTCATCATGGGATTCAGAAATTATTTCATATTGTCATACTGTATATCTAAACCTGAATAATCCTTCAGTCTGCTGTATGTATGCTTTAGTCTCTGTGTCCTTTCACACAGGTTGGTAAATTCTTCGGGGAAATAGATGGATCAGTCATGGCCCAATTACTAAAATCTGGCTTGTTTAAAAGGTAACTGGACTCCATACTGTTTTTATTTATTTATTTAATAAATTAATAGAATAGAATAGAATAAATGTTATTCTTTGGTGAATTATTCCTTTAAAGTTTAGTGGTACTTTGAAAATTTGAACATGAAGTAATGCTACTGTATATTGTTCTGCAGGGTGACTCTGTATGACTACCAGGCCATGTGTAAGAATGCCCATCATCACGCTAGTGGAGCTCGACCACTGCTCAGCGTACGAACACCTTAGCATCTATTAGAGAGAAACGTATCTTTTTAATGCATAATGCAGTCTATATTGTGCTGACACTGTTGACAATCCACCTCTGTTCACCTCACAGCCTTTCTATGGTGTGCTGGCATTAGTAAAGTGGTTCTTCTCACATTTTGTGATGTAAGTGCTGTTTGAGGTTGTGAAACCAGGGGGAACATGAACTATTTTATTCATTTAAAATGTAATTTGATTTGCCAGTAAAAATGTATCCTCACTTCGAAACTTACAGGTTTCTGTTGGAGTTCAACATCTGCGGACTTTGGCATAATGACTATGTAGTGGATGGTAAGTTAAGAAGTTATGGAAGTAACAGTAAAACCGTTGAGACTGGACTCAACAAAACTACAGTGATCACAATATAATAAAAAGAGGCCTTGCAGCATGTCATGATGTGACCAAGCATATAAATTTAATCGCCATAATATTTTTGTATCATTTAATGTGTCATCATATGTAGTGTCTGCCTCGCTTCATTTTCTTTCTTCATTCTCCATTTCCATTGTTGTTCATCATTTTGCTGTAATTGTTTCTCATTGACGTTGTTCAGCTAAAGCTGGGTTTCATGCGAGTGAGTATCCACATGCGTCCTTGAGCACATGTCCTTCATCTAGTTTGTGCCTTTCTTTAGCCAGGATCCAACTAGAGCCTGACATGGTCATTTGTAGCGAATGAAATGCCTTAGTCATCTGTAGTGCCTTTAGCATGGAAATAGGTTTTCTAGACAAAATATTAGTCTAGTCTGAAAGTTTAGGAGATCCTGATTTATTGTGAGAATGGGAAAGTAAGCACTTCAAATAGTTACATCCAATACATAGTGCTCATTATTCATCAGAGATTATTAAACAGTTGTGCTAATACACTGTATTGCTAACTGCTTTACTTAAAAAACCTGTGGTCTACAGACAGACTTTTTGAAGCCCTTATCCATCGGTTATAATGAAAATCTTGTTTTCTCCAGCTCACAGACAGAAGAAAGTGGAACTAATGCAGCCTTGTAACACAGAATATCCTGGCTTCATGTATGACACGTCCATCAGAGAGACCAACAGCATCATCAAATGTGGCCGTTGTCAGAAGTACGTCCATCAGTCAGACTGTCTTCAGATGAGTGGATTTGTGCCAGTAACAATTTGTCAATGTCTCTCTCTTTCTCTGTCATATTTCAGGATGTTTGTCCTACAGCAGGTTCCTAACAGTAACCTGGTCATGCTGGTGGTCCAGGCCGACTGCGACTGCTCCCGACAGTACGCTCCCATTACACTCGCGCCCAGAGAGGTCAAATATATCCTTCCATGATGATGAGTTTCTTGTCTTTGAAATGTGGTTTTAGTTCAACTTTGTGGGAAACTGAGGTCTTCTTAACTCCTTTGAACATAATGCCACGGTTAAGTGCAACAGGATGAAATCTCAGAAGATTCGCAGACGACCAGAGTCATGTCACGCATACCATCCTCATGTAAGCCACCACATTCATACAGTGCATGAACATAAAAGATGTTTACATATAGTCCACAAGAGAAAATAATAGTTAGATAATAGTTAGAAAATAACAGCTGTTATCCAGGTAACAACATAGAATCAAGCATATGTAGTATGTATATATATATATATATATATATATATAGCACTTGAAAAAACACAAAGAAACCACAATAAAGGCCAGAAACATTATTTATTGAACACTGATTGTTCTAACAAATAAATATGACAATAAGAGCACTGATGTCCGATATATTCTCCTCTAAAGTGCCAATAACTTTAAAATGGCCAGCTGATTCCAAACCAATCTTTTTGGTTTTAGACCTTTTCCCTTTTTTAGCATGTTCGCCAACACTGAAAAATTAGCCAACATTCACTGCATTACTTTGCGGCTGGAAATGGAATCGTATGAATATCCTTAGCACAAGTACAAAGTGACAGAAATGCTTCTTTGTTCCAAAACGGGAATTGTGGTATCACAGGAACCGGATTCCAGCCCCAAACTGCACTCCATCACATATCCTGAGAGACAAAACGCATCAGTATATTACAAATTCATAATAGTAGGATAACGCTAGTACATTAAAAGTGTAATATGTGGTTGTGATTGATTATGTGAGTATCTATGATTGTCTACCTGTCTCCGCTCTGGACGCCCATGGGAATGCAGTAGTTGAGCTCCAGCCGAGCGATGTTCCCTAGACGCAACACAATACCCGCTCCATAAGACCAGCGGATACATTCGGCCAGCTTGCTCAGGTGTGCCCTGGGTCCTTCCCCTAGTGGATGATTTCAATTATAGCAACAATTATAAGTAAAAGAAGGAGAAAAATATGACCTTTGCAGCCTTCTTTATCGTACCATAGTTGAGGTTACACAGGTTTCCGGCATTGAGGAAGAAATGTGTCCTGAAAAGTTCTCCGAAGCCGCCTCTACCTGGCCTGAATGGGAGAGGGGTGTACAGATGAAGCCCTCCAGCCCAAAACGCCTCCCCACCGAGGTAATCGCCTGTCATCAAAGTGAGACAACAAACCTTAGTTGTGAATATTGAGATACTGAGCTTCACTGTCAGAGTCAGAATCAGTTACCTTCACTCTGAGGGCCGATACTGTACATGCTGTAGCCCCTCACACTGGTCGGACCACCCAAATAGAATCTAAACACACGTTTAAATACAAAATATAAAAATATATTTAAAAAAAAAAATATATATATATATTAGAATAAATGTGAATAAATACTATAATAGTATATTAATGATACTAAAATAACACTGCAATAAACAAACATAAGCAATAGTTTCCTCCACAGCATCTCACCGAGTCCCAGAACAGAGTCTTGTTGAGCTGAATTTCAAAGTCTTCCTTCAGGAAACTGACATCTCCTCCAGTGTAACCTGCCAGTTCCTAACAGACCATAAAAATTAAGTTAATAACGACAGTATTGGATAAACTATTTCTTACAAGGACAACAACTGATTCAAACAAACCTGGTTGATCTTCAGTAAGGCACCTTTTCTTGGAAGAATGGTAGAATTGCGTGTGTCGATGACCATTGTGTGCTGTGAGGAAAACATCATACATATTTAAAACCTAAAAGATATCAATGAGTGTAATAACAAGTTTCAGAGAAGAAACATACGGAAAGTGAGGACTTCAGGGAATTCACACTGGTCAGACCACCCAAATAGAAACTAAACACACGTTTAAATACAAAAACAACATTATTTTGAGTGTTTGTGGGTTATTCTTACCAATGACAGGGAATTCACTAACCTGTCAGCGATAGAGGAGGGTTTGTCTCCAAGAGGCAGCAACATACCGCCCCACAGAGAGGTAGAGAGCACCTACAAAAAGAGGAAAATAAGCAAATGGAACCCTCTAAGACTATTAAAGAACATTTGTTGAAATAAAATAATCAAAATTTAATTAAATACTAAAAAAAAGGTAAACTTATTTTCAGTGCAGAAAGTGTGAACAAATTTTTATTTGAACTTATTTGTGTATTTCTTTATTTTTAATTATTTAATTTTTTATAAAAAAAAAAATATATATATATATTAGAATAAATGTGAATAAATACTATAATAGTATATTAATGATACTAAAATAACACTGCAATAAACAAACATAAGCAATAGTTTCCTCCACAGCATCTCACCGAGTCCCAGAACAGAGTCTTGTTGAGCTGAATTTCAAAGTCTTCCTTCAGGAAACTGACATCTCCTCCAGTGTAACCTGCCAGTTCCTAACAGACCATAAAAATTAAGTTAATAACGACAGTATTGGATAAACTATTTCTTACAAGGACAACAACTGATTCAAACAAACCTGGTTGATCTTCAGTAAGGCACCTTTTCTTGGAAGAATGGTAGAATTGCGTGTGTCGATGACCATTGTGTGCTGTGAGGAAAACATCATACATATTTAAAACCTAAAAGATATCAATGAGTGTAATAACAAGTTTCAGAGAAGAAACATACGGAAAGTGAGGACTTCAGGGAATGGCCACTCTCCTCCCTGACAGAGAAGGAGGCCGTACGGGCCAAACAACCCAGCTCTCTCCACACACCCTCCCACTTCAAAGTGTGATTGGTCCTCCAGATGGGGAACTGGTGATTACAGACAAAACAATGGACAAACAAATTAGATAAATCTCATTTAAATTAGATAGTATCTTACACATATACTAAAGCTTTTGACTTTATCTACTAAAACCTTATTTATGACATAAAATAATATTTGGTTTGATAAAGAGATAATAAAAGAAATTTAATAAAAAAATAAAATAAAAACTTTTTTTTAATTAAATTAAATGATTCAATTAAATTAAAATGAAATTGTAAAAATAAATAAATAAATAAATCCCTTACACTGAACTCTGTGGAGACCCCTCGATCCGTTTCTCTGAGTGAGCTCCATGGGAACTGCCCTGTGACTTTATACAAGTTAATGGAGAAGCTGAAAGAATGAGTAAGTGTCAACAGCAAACCGATTCCCAAAATTAAGTACATTTCTAACTAATCAAAATGTCATTTTTAAATAGAAATCTGCATTAACAGGCCAAGAAACATACTTGCGCTCAAAGTGTCCAGGCTGGGGCTTGAAGAATGACAGGCCATATGAGGTTTCCTTAGTCCCATAAGAGAACTGGAAGGTCAGCTTCTCTGCACGGCCAAAAACATTGGGCAATTTCAGACCCAGCACCTGAAATAAGAACCAGAACAACAATTTTGTAAATCATTTTGGTTTCTTGTAGACACACAGCCAACAGTGACGATGCAGGGAGTCAGTAGCTCACCATGCTTCCCTCGTTGTTCCCAACCATGGTATTGTAACTTCCTGTCATTCTTCTCAGCTCCTTCACCTCGAATGTCACATCTAGTCCATTTGGCAGCGCGTCAGCACCTGTTTTGAGAGGATTTCAGACTTCGATGCATCACTTAGATTATTGGTTATTTACGATTGGTTGTTTGCATAATTCAGCAGTCATACCTTCAGTGGTGTCAATGACAACTTCCACATGTCTGAATATACCCAGACGCAAAAGTTTCTGTCTAGCCTCATGGGACTTCTTCATTACCTGTAACATAATTATTAAGGAGTTATAAATAAATTAAGTAAAAATGAAAGTATGCAATATAATTTAATAGCGTAATTTATCTATTAGCAGCATCTATATAAAGTGATACTCACATCAATCAAGTTTTTGGCACGGAAAACATCTGCAACCTCATATGTTAAAATGTCTTCCTTTGTTCTTCCAAGACCATCGATGTGCACATGCTGTACTACAACCTAAACAATTAAAATACATATGAAAAAAACAAACAAAAAAAACAATACGCCTGATACAAAACCACATTTATGCATGTACAAGAAGTGGATAGATCAATCACATAACACCCATCTCACATCTTTATTTTCAAGAACTTCCTGTTTCTCTTCCTGCTCTGGTTCTCCCAGGTCCATGTCATCTGCTTGAACCCCCAGTTCAGGTCCTTGCATAGGAAGGGGGTCCAGACTCTGGGTCAACAGAAATGTACAAGAGAATGAGTTATAGTGTTTTTAGATCTATTGTGTTATTATGTTAAGGATACTCAAATACTCAAAGAACCTGATGTCTAGTATAAATGATCATCACAGACAATAAGTAAAACAACAGATACTATATAGAAGCGTGCATATACAAAAGCAATGAGATAAGTATTGTATGACAGCTATAGTTTGTTAATGTCCAATGCGACATGTGTCTGTGTTAAAGTGAGAGTGAGCGTTTATATGTGCAGAGTTGATTTATTATCTTACTGACAGTTAATCTGGATTAATGTGTAGTACTAAACGTCATCCTGAACTCGGCCTGTCATTCAAAGACTCTGTTCAGAGGTCATTGCTTTAGCTTCTCCGACAACTCTGGAAAAACGCGCTTACCCTGGCATGCACGGTCCCCATGTTTAAAAGACTTTTTACATTCAAATATCCGCAATATGATAATAAACACAGTTCAGTTTAAAACAGCACAATCCGCGGTCTATCTCTGCCACAAAATGTCCCGGTGGCCGCCATGACACTTGGTAACCACGCCCCTCGCCAATGATGATTGGCGGAGGAGGACAGAACAACTACGTCATGTTCGTCACTATTTTCCTTAAAAGATATGGGGACAAATTGCAGTTTTGACGTTCCACGGGAATCTGCATTCTTTATCCTTCGGTAATGTAGTTTTTCAAAAATATTTTGTGAGTTTATTAGCTTTTTCACAACCTGATTACTGGTTGGTTAAGCATTCCAGTAGGCGGAGCCAACACCTGATTGACAGCCAGCCCATATCCATGGGAACAGCTAAGCGTCCTCGACTGGCTGGTGTTGTGGTCAAATTTTTAATTTGAACAACGACAGTGTAAATACGAGACAGTGTAAATACGAATTTAACACACGAATGCGTCCGCGGTCCGCTGTGGAGAGTTGGGTTAGTATTAAGGCACTTTACTAATAGAATTTCTGAATGAAAAATTGCCAGGTTGAAATGCCAAGGAAATAGGTTATCTTATGACGCTAACGTTAAAATCTTAATAAAAGGGGTCAAAGGAGTAACTTTTATTCTCGCTGTGGTATTGTTGCTGCCGCCATGTCGTGAATACGCTGTGTGTGTTCGTTGTGAAAGCGAAACTTTGTTTGGGGGTCGTCACATGTGGTTGCCGCAAGCCCGCCGGATGCTCCTTTGTGGAATCCGCTGGCCGCCGCTCACTTCAGCCGCCGGCCTCCGCTCACTCTAGCCCGCCC